TGACACGTACAAGAAAAAATATCATCGGAAGTAGACAAAATCAAATAATCACCTCTATAGCTATGATATTATCTTTTGACTATGTAGACTCCACTTCTTTTCTCTTTTTATTGTTCTTCTTAGATTGATTACATTGATTCTTGTAATGTCCTTTCTCACCACGGTTATAGTAAACAATATCTTTTCTTGATATTGACTTACTTTTACCTATGCGTGAATAACTTCTAGACTTTGACCTTCCTCTGTTCTATGAGATAAGTGCCTGTAAATCATTCTGAGATGTTGCTGAATTCTTTCTTCTCAACTCCTCATTCAACAAACTGCTTGTTACTTGACTCATGGTGACAACACAATCTGGTGCAGAATTACTAAGGGAAACCACCAGTGTCTCCCAGCTTTCTAACAATGAACTAAGAAGTAACAATGCCTAAAACTCATCATCAAGAGACATTTTCATAGAAGATAACTGGTTAGTGATACTCTGTATTTTATTCAAATTCTCAGCAATAGAATCACCCTCTTTATATTTTAGGTTCATAAGTTTTTTGATCAAAAAAGCTTTGTTACCAGCTGTTTTTTTTCATAGAGACTTTCTAACTTTTTCCAAAGAGAATATGCAGAAATTTCAGTAAAAACATGGCGAACGACACTATCATCAAGCCACTGTCAAATAAACCCAATTGTTTTTTTATCTAACCTCTTCCACTCATCATCTATCATAGTTGTGGGTTTTGCACTATCCCCCTACAAAGGTTCATATAAATCTTTGCAATATAAGAGATCTTTCATTCTTGATTTTCATATCATCCAATTGTTTCCATCAAACTAATCATGCGAAAAATATTACTGGCCTCCATGTTCTAATACAAAATTAAATCACTACAACCCTGCTCTGATACCAGTTGATGGGATATAAAGAAAAATAACTTTTATATATGAAAAAATACTAGTAGGCCATAACACACAGCGAAATTAAATGGAACCACAATCAAATAAAACACCAAGATATACGTGGAAAACCCCTCCAATGTGAAGGGTAAAAACCATGGGACAAACTAGAGATAATCCACTATAATAATAATGAATATATAAATCTCAATCTCTTGCCCAAAACTCTAGCAACAATCACAAGAGAATAACTGGGATACAAGGATTACGTCACTGTGCACAATATCTAAATCCTCCCTAATTCTCTCCAAGTAATCATAGTAAGAATCTACTGTAGATCTAATCTAACCTGAGATGAAAGCACTGCTAGATGATTGAGAACAATCTCTCTGCATTGTCCTTGTTTTCTTCTCTTTCTTTCTCCTTTGATTTTTATCTTTTTCTCTTCCTTTTTGCTGCTACAAGATCTCTTTTGCTGCCCTCATTGCTGCCTATTTTCGCAGCCACCACACCCCCCCTAATATAAATTAGGGTTAGATTAAAAGAGGATAAGCTGTGGGCTGAATATGGGCTATCAACCCAACATGTGCATATTGATGTCTTACTATTCCTTAGTGTGAAGATTTGTTAATTGTGATACAATTACAATTATATTTATATTGTGTTAGATTATTATCATAATTATTTGTGACATCTATTTCTCTTAACCGAACTTCATAACCAATATTTTAAAATATAATCAACTTACTTTTCTATTTCATTAAATCAATATTTGTAACCATAAAGATTTTTAAATTTTATTTTATGAATATTATGCATTAGCTTTATTCCCTTAGGTTTAATTCTAAATCTTAGTAGAATGACCATGTTCCTTAAACTTAAGAAATTTAATGAGATTAAGTTTGTCAAACAGCTTAAACAATTCAAAGCTTAGATGGGAGAAAAAAATATTTTAGAAGCTTAAAATCAACTGAATCATTATTGCATATATGATTATTAAATCTTTTGAGCTCTAATACTATTTGTTGAGATGAGAGAGAAAAATTAAAATAAAAAAATCTCTAAAATTAACAATCAAAACAATATACTAGAAAGTCGATAAAAGATTTCGTATTGATCGATAACTCCTTACCTATATTTGTGAAAAAAATTATTTTTTTCAATATATACGAAAAATTAGTACAAGGATCACTCTCCCTTGAGTTAATCTAAATTCAAGCCAAAAACCCTTTGTATACTCTCTCACATAAATAAAAAGAACTTTTTTCTCAATCCTATATAAATTCACTAGAGTAAAACTCTCAAGAACACTCAAAAGTATCTTACCTCTACCTCTACCTCTTACAAGAACCTTAAAGACTCAATATGTATTAATAGGAATAAATCCTAAGGACTATACTTTTACCTGAATCACTAATCTAAAATTTAATCTTAGTTCATCAAAATATTTAAATTTATGTAAGACTCCTCCTTGATATTTCGAATGACTTCTAAAAGTTTCCTATCTAGAGCTCCATTATAGATAACTATGGCTGTCCATCTTGAAGTGATGATACCGGATGCAGGTCCCAAGCTGAGTTGGATGAGTTCCTCATATTCTTTGATCATGTATAGACAAATTTACATAGAGTAATCCGTCAATGTCAACACCAATAATGATTTAACATCTTATCTTATCCTAATAAGATTTATGTCTAACACATGGAATAACTTGAGGTTTCGAGAAACAGCTAAATAATTTTGCCCTCTATCTCTTAGAACGCCACATCATAACACTAATCTTTAAGCTGTTGTGCAACAGTTAATTACTGCTCAATTATTGCCTATCACATCCAACATGTCCACATCACAAATGATGCAATATAAAGGCATTCGCCACCTTCATTAAATATCCTCTCTCCTTTAAATTTTTAATATTCAATGACCTTTTTATATCTTAGAGATGCCTATTCAAATTGGTTCGACTCAAAATGAATCAAATCGAAAAAATAGTTTGGCTCGATTAAGATAATGCTCTCCGAATCGAAAATCATTTGGGATTTATTTAATCGAATCGGTTCAAAACTTATTAATCAGTGTCTAATTTTAAATAATTTTAAAAATATATAAATTTTAAATGAATCGATTCAGTTCAATAAATTAATTCAATTTAAGTCGGATTTGACAGGCTGGATTATTAGTCGATTTACTACAATGAGCTCATAGAATATAAGCAAACTAAAAGAGCACGAAATCAAGTAAAGTTCATACGGCGTCAAGCTTCTCAAAACTGATCTCGCTACAACCGGGAAGGGAAGGGGGGCACAACTTTAAGGTAGAGAGGTCAACAACCCTCATCCGCTCAAGTCGAGAATTCCGACCTTAGAATATAGAGAGAGGCCCGATCTCAATAAGTGGTTTGGCTCATTCTTCTGTCAGCAACAAGTGGTTTTTCTCATTCTTCTCTCATCAACTTATATAAGCATGCATGCCGGTTCTTGAATTCGTTGCTTGTAAGGGAAGCTTGTTGCAGGATGAAGCTTGGACAACCCCTTCATCTAATTCCCACATATTGCCAATATTTCCGACCAATTTAGAAAACTCGAATTGATCTCAGCCAAACCAAAAAAAAATCATGATGATTCATCCCAATCAATCCCCGACCATTCTGATCCATAGCAGTCTGACTGGGTATTGATAAGGTCATTAACGTGCCCATCACATCCAATATTGTCTTCAACATGCACATCACATCGGGAAAGGCGATCATGACTCTCATCGGTCAAATCTCTTCCTTGTAGTTCGCTCCTAAGTTTTTTAGAAAAATATTCACTTATTAGACATATGTATGGGTATTGATAAGGTCATTAATATTTTATTAGTAAAAATTTAACATATTAAATCGAAACACTTATTAGACATATGCATCTAATGGGTAATACTATCTGATTTACAAACTTTTGATAGTATATTAACTTAGCCATCGAAAGTGTTTTATCGATTAAACCCTTAGTGAGGTTCTTTACTGAAAGTAAGATATAAGATACAAGCATATTCTATCTATTGGTGAACCCTTACAACGTGGCCGAGGGGTCAACATAGTTTGATACAATCCCAAATGCATAAGGTTGCCAATGCGGATGCTCGGGTGGTGGAAGTGAGCGTCAAGTCGGTTTGACACTCGTCTCCCGAACACAATATTCTCTCATGGCGAGTGGCCTGCTTCTTCGTCGTTAGGCTCCTGATCACAGGCCGAGGTCGGGAGGGGGATTTCCTAACTCGACCCCTCCTAAACTTAAGTCGTGTTGTGTGGATAAAGGGGTCGAATGTCGGAAGTGCCTCCCCTAATGCCGATCAAGGGGTCGGCTTTTATACATGTGAACGAGAGTCGATCATACGTGATTGGTAAATGGCGGTCGACACCTCGAGCGGCGACTTGTACCTACTGTACGAGCATCGATCGACCTGCACAGAGTCGCACCGCGCGGCACCGTTCTAAACTTTTCGGAACGACTTTGTGCTATGCGGTGCCGCCTCGAATAGTGCGGGACAGGCAGCCATCCCACCTGAGTCTGAGGTGCCACGTTAACGCGATGCATCATATTAGCCCTAAGGCTCCATGTCGACGCTGACGTGATTGCTAACTATTGTCATGGGGGGTGACCCCAGAATTTGCCCTATCACTATCCTCGAACCAAAACTGAGAGAAAGTATGCAGAATGTATATATTTTTCACATTAAAAAGAATTCTCCCACTTGGTTTGATGCCTTAAGGGTTTTTTCGACTACTTTCTAAATAAATGTTTGAGAATGATACTCTCACCTTCCATCTCATGAGTTATAGTGGTTTTGATGAGGACAAGTCGATGGGCAAAGCCATCATGCCAACTGCAAGGACCCAATCTTGAATGTCCATGTCCCGCGGTGACATGACGACAAGCTATTACTGTTCTTTAAGCCAATTTGTTTTCATTCTCCAATCGTAAGTAAAACTGATTCGAAGGCTCACTTCTATTCGACCGATCTAAATCGAGTCAGATATCTTTTGATTGAGTAGGAGACATACAAATAAGTATCAACATATCTTGTTCTTATATCTAGACAGCAACTACAACTTAGATCATTTGAATTTTCATTGTAATGCATGAAGGCCTTCAAGCTTTCCTCCTCAAGGCAAAGACTAACTCGGTGTAGTTGCATTTGTCTTTTAGGAGGTGCCTTGCAGTAATATTATCGGCGACTAGTGAGAATAATGCATGGGGTATGGCATCCCCAAAATGATGTGAAATCAAGGGCTCCATCACTGCCTGTAAAGTGCTTGCCACATTCTTCCCATCGAGTACATTGTCGGAGTCGTCAAACGGATCCCAACTGGACTCGAAGCTCTCCGCTTTCTCTACATCAAATGAACCTTCCTCCTCTATCACTGACTTCACTTCCTGCATCGAAGCTCCATAAATTGGCAAATTGAAGGTGTCCACTTTGTCTTCTGATATGATTCCCTGAACTCAATAAACAATAACTCGGGTCACTTCTCTTCTTTAACCTTCCTTACGACGCAAGTAATACAATGTTCTCACTACTCCGCAAGGTGAAGATTTGAGGTACCTGTGAGACCATTGCGTTAAGGGCCTCTGTTATAAATCCACAAAGATAGCTTAGCTCGTCTGTGGCTGGGTGTTTGCTTTTTCTTCCTACGAATGTTAATACCATTCCCCCTCCGATGCTTAGTTCTACGTAACGGGATTTGAGAAACGTGGAGAAGTCCTTCCGGTGTTGTTCTTGGTATGCTTTCACGACTTGGGGTGGACTGTTCTCCGCAATATAGATGTTGCCCTTGTTCAGCGGAACACCCTGCTCACTCTCGAGACCTTGTGGAACCTATGACACATAGTTCATGATCAGTAGTACAACATCAACTCAGTGCAACACCGCATGCATGACACGAGAAAGCGCAGTAGTGATCGACCT